CTTTTCATGCCGCGTTTAAAGTCAAGGGGCGAGGGTGGGTTATTGTTGATGGTTGTTTCGCTGGTATTCATTGGTACTCGTTTGTTATTTTTGTTCGTTATCGAATATTTTCAATCGTCTGAATGCGGTGCGGTTGGACGGACGAAACGAAGAACGACAATTTTTTTTTTTTTTTTAGGTGTAGATCAACGAGAAATTAATTTAATTTTTAAGAGGATTAATATGAATTTTTTTCATCGGAAATTTTGAAGCGTTTTTGTATAATGATTAACTCGATAACTGATAATTTTCTGCGATTTTAAGTGGAGAAAAATATATTTTTACTCGTTTAAATTATGATCAAGTGAATAATGAATCTTTTAATTTTTTTATTTAGAACACATATATTTTACGATAATTCACAAAATTATTTATAAAAAATGTGCTAACATTTTATTTTCATGCAAAGAGGGGCAATTATTTTTTATTCACTTAGTAATAAAATTGTTTTCATTCGTTTAGATGTACTTTAATCTGATTTTTGCTGACTTTTTTACTCGTAAGATAGAAATCATGCAGGAATTACGAAAGGATATTATATTTTTCCTGTAAAGTTTAATAAAACATTTTCTTTTCGTTTATGAAAAGCAACGACACAGATTAAAACACACTTGTGTTCTTAACACACTTGTGAATTTAGATTTAAATATCCTGTCTAGAAGAAATCTATATTCTCATCTAGAAGAAATGAAATTTTACAAAAGTACATATATACAAAGATCGGAAAGTTTTATTCAGGAAATATATATCTTTTATAAAAAGTTTCTATATAATATTGTGCAACATAATTTTCCCTCTTCTCTTCAAGTTATATTTTAAGAAATTAATCATTAGCGTATGTGCGTGCAATTTACCCAGAAATATTGAAATTAATGAGCCAGTAATACACTAGAACTTCCTGAACGAGTACCGTTGCTTATTGAAAATTTTAGAAACCTACCTGAATCGTTCGGTTATTAACGCCCTCAAAAAGTGGTCTGAATTTCGGATCAAAGGGAATAGCTTGATCAGATGGATTAAAGCTCGAAATGCGAGTGAGACGTCAAACCGTATATTCTGCTAATGATTAAATCCCGTACTTGATCTTTCCACCGTGAATGATTTCCTTCTTTTCAGAGCGATCAATTTAAGAATTGTTCGTCTTTAATTGAAATTGTATTTGATGTCGTTTTTTTTTTTTTTTTTTTTTTTTTTTTTTTTTT